AGGCTGGGTGGGTGGGTGGACGGACGCACGCGTGCACCTGATGTGCAGCACTGTTTTCGATCTCCTCCCCATAGAAAACAAGTCTTCTTTTCTAACTATTCTCCTTTTCTCTCTTCCATCGTTTTAAGCTGAGCTTCGTTTGCACTCTTTTACTAATTCAGGCTCCTGGGTTTGCTAGCTCCTGCTGGTCGTGCTGGATCCTTCTTGCTCAGAGTGGCCCTGCTCTTATCTGGTTTGCAACTGTTTCTCGTGGGCCCATCTTCAGGAGACACCTTTCCCGGCAGGAGTTCTGTCTGCCTCGGATGGCGAAGCATCCTTACAGAGGGCCACGTTCACTCCTGCTGGGCACCCCAGGGCTTTCTCTCGTCTGCCCCGCACTTTGATGCTCTTCCTGCTCTCAGGGTCCCTGTGCCACGAGGGATGTGCAAGCTGGGCCGCTTCCCTACCCAGGCACAGGCTGGGCTCCAGTGTTTCCCTGGAGGCGTCTTTCCTTCCTCCCAGAGCCTCCAGAGGGATCACCTCCCAGGTTCCTCCGTGGCCCAGCAGGCAGTGAGACTTCCGCCTCCTCGCCTGGGGCAGCCCTCCCAGGGCCCACGTCAGCGGGCCCCAGGCCCTGTCTCCTGCCCTGTGTGGGCATCCGGACCCCAGCCGCCTCCTTCAGGGTCTAGACCTAGAACGTTCCTGGAGGTAAGCTCACAGGCTCCTGCCTGGGATTCCAGGCGCTCTTCATTTCTGCCACCCGGAGACCGCCTTTGCTTTCTTGAAATACTGTTATTATGGCTCAGGCAGTGTTTGGAGTGGGCAGGCCCAGGTCGGAACTGCCCCCTTTTGTCTGACTCCGCTCCTGGTCACCGTCCCGAGCTCCCCACACAGGGGACGCCTGCCACGGGGATGCGGCTGCCTGATGGGCCTCCCACTAACACGGTCTCTCAAGAACTCACGTCTGATCATGCACTAAGCTTCCTTGGCCTCATGGTGCCTGCAGTTTAAAGTCCTGACTCTTTGCTGAGGTATTTAGGGCCCTCGACGATCAAACATGCCCGGCCTGCTCTCAGGGACACACCACCTTCCATGGCTCCTGGGTTCACCAGGCTGCCCCGTGTCTCCACACCTCTGCACCTGCTGCTCCTTCTGGAGTTCCCTCCTCCCTTGACCATCTGGGGCTTGTCTGCTTATTCTTTAAGGTCCCCAGAGCGCCAGCATGCCCTCCCCTGTAACCCTTCTCCTGTTACCTTATATTTACCTTCACCACTGCCCCCCCCATATTGGCCTGACGACACTTACTAATGTCTGTCTTCTCCTCTGATTAAGGAAGCTCCTTTTTAAATCTGTTTTTCCTTTTTAAAATTTACAATGTTGTGTTAGTTTCTGGCATACAGCACAGTGATTCAGTTATATATATAGTGTGTGTGTGTGTGTTCTTTTTCATTACAGGTTATTACAAGCCATTGAATGTAGTTCTCTGTGCTCTACAGAAGATCTTTGTTTATCTATTCTATACATAGTAGTTGGTATTAGCCAACCCCAATCTCCCAATTTATCCCTCCATACCCTGCTCCCCCCCGGTAACCATAAGTTTGTTTTCTATGTCTGTGAATCTGTTTCTGTTTTATAAATAAGTTTGTTTGTATCTTTTTTTTAGATTCCACATATAAGTGACATCATGATATTTGTCCTTCTCTGTCTGGCTCAGTTCTCTTAGTATGATGATCTCCAAGTCCATCCATGTTGCTGCAAATGACGTTGTTTCATTTTTCATGGCTGAGTAGTATTCCAGTGTGTATATATAACACATATACACCACATTTTTTGTATGCAGTTGTCTGTCTGTGAAGGAAGCCCCTGAAGGCAAGAGCAGTGCCTTCCCTGACCGTGCAGCCTGAGATCGGTTTGTGGGCCTTACAGATAGCATACGTGTAGCAAGTGGTTGGTGAAAGTCTGCTGTTTCTGGAGTAGAACTTGGATGTACGGGGTCCTCAATGACTGGTAATCTGTATGTATGTACAGCCTCTGTGATTGTCATAATTTGCCCAGACTCCTGGTGGTCATTGTCCCCGGTGATGCCATGAGAAGGAAAGTCCACCTTCCTGTGGCTTCTAGAAAACAGTGTCAACATCTAACCACCCTCTTCTGCAAAACCTGAGGCCCGACGGCCGCCTGGGCCGTCAGCCACGCAGCTCACCTTGCAAGTGGGTCAACCAGAGAGGCTGGTGGTGGTGCTCGGAGGCGATGGACAGGGTGTTGAGGGCAACGATCAGGATGACCAGCCAGTAGAAGACCCTGGACTTCACCACGTCATGGCACTTCCAGCGGAAGATGCGGTTCCACTGCCTCCAGTGACGGCTGAGGACAGGCCGGGAGGCCGGAGGCCGAGGCTGCGTTACGCCGAGTCCCCACCTTCCCGAGGCCGCTCTCAGACCAGCTCCGGCCAAGGGTAGTCTGACCACCCACCCCTCCCCCAGGCCGGGCACAGAGTGGGGCCCCATACATTTCGATCGTAATTAAAGCCACACTGGGAGGCCCCGTTTTGCCCATCATAAAGGCAGTTCTTTGACAAACTGATAACATCTGGTGTTGGGGAGGCAGTGCAGAAAGGGCGCCTTCTCTGTCAGCGCGACCTCTGCGCAGCGTTTACCGAAGTTTAGAATCCGCGTACCCTTGACCCAGCAAGCTCATTTCTAGGGATCTGCCCGGCAGAGATGCTCACTCACACTTATGCACAGCTGTTCCCTGAAGCGCTGTTTGTATTGCCCTAAACTGGAAAGATTAAACAGACTGTGCCATATTCATGCGGCGGAATATTTTACGTCCAAAGATATACCAAAGGTGTGTGAGCGATCACGCCGCACAAAGATGTGGAGGAATCTTAAATGCACGTCACTGAGTGGAAGAGGCCACTCTGAGACGGCCGCACACGAGTAAGTCCGACTAAATGACGTTCTGCAAAAGGCAAGACTGTGGAGACAGCAGGAAGGCAGTGGCTGGCTGCTGGGGTGGGAGGTGGGGGTGAGCAGGCAGAGCGAGGGTTTTAGGGCCGTGAAAATTCTCCGGGTGCTAGGACAGTAGCTGCGTGCCGTTACACATTTGTCTGAACCCGCGACACGTAGGACACCGAGAGAGAGACTGACGAGGCGTGGACACCGGGGGAGGACGCTGTGTCAGTGTGGGTTCATCTGTCGTAACAAGTGGTCCATCTGGTGGGGCTGCTGATCCTGGGGTGGCTGTGCACGTGGGGGGCAGGGGGTACACGGGAGATCTCTGTACTTTCTGAACAATTTTGCCGTGAACCTGAAACTGCTCTGAAAAAAGGGAAGTCTTCAGGAAAAAAAAGGTGTGTGTGTATAAAGTCGCCCTTCGGAGACAATTTTACGTTAAAAATATCAGTGGCTAGTTTGCATGTGTGTCGTAGTCATTCACCCAAAACCCCTCCTATGTGTCAGGTGCCGTGGTTGGCTCTGCAGTGACGGTGGTTAACATGAGAAACCGCGTCACGTACAAAGAGAAAACAAAAAAGCAACCTGGGTGGGAGTGTATGTGTGTGCGAGCGTGTGTGTGCGCGTGTAAGAGAGATGAAAGACTGGAGGGGCCTGGGAGCGATGCAGAGCTAACTGTCACCATGGTTACCTCTTCGAAGGCAGTGAGGACCTTTCTCTTTTTCTTGGTGTTTTTCTCTATTGTTGTGTCTTTCGAAATCACAGTTATGTATGAATTTGTAAAGGCAGCAGCCAGCTGGATGAACACACGGTCCTCTTGAGACAAAGGCGCCAGAGCTTCCAGCATCCCTGTCTCCAGCCCCCTGCCTGCAATGCTCCCGCCTCCCCGCTTCCTCCTGGAGCAGAGGTTCTCATTACCTACACGCCTCCCCCAGCTTTCTTCCCTACATGGTATGTAAATAGGTCGGCTACTGAGTGCCCTGTGATTATGCTAAGAGATTGGGGAAGTGACCCAAAAAGCCACCCAGGGGAAGAGGACTGGGCTCTCCCTGCATGTCTCAGGATGCTGGGGCTGGGAGGACATGAAGCTGGGCAGACACTCACACAAACTGGATGATTTTGTTCAAGCCCGCGATTTCGTACAAGCTCTCCGTGTCTGAGCCGCCTTCATCCAAAGCCAGCTTCCCTGGGGACAGAGAGGTACAGTTGGCCAGGCTTCTAGACCTCTCAGTGTGGACACACCCAGAAAGGCCCACCGACTGAGGACACCTGTGACAGTGGCCCTGGGTGGGCCTGGACCCCTCCCTCTGTGCCTTCCAGAGCCCGCGTCTGCAGGGAGGCCGGGCTACCAAGGGCAGCCTGGTACTCCGCTGCTTCCTGCGCCGGGAGGGCCCTGGACAGCCAGGCTGCCTCCATCCCCCAGTGCGAGGCTTAGCCTCTAAGGGCGGGGGTTTTTCTTGTCTGCACAGTGGCGATGTGCCCCTCCCCGGGCTGCGGGGGCTTGGGTGGGGAGGTGTCTCACTGGGGGGGGGGTCCCAGCCCCAACCTTCTTTCAAGTCGTCCACGTCCATGACCTCGCCCTGCGTGATCCAGCTCAGGTAGCCCCGGAGGTCCTCCTCCAGCTGCTGCTTCTCCCGCAGCTTCTGGAAGGTTCCCCTGGACTTGGCCTTCTCCCGTTCCTTGGTGAACTCCCTGCGGTGGGGCGAGCAGATGGGGGAGAAGGGAGAAGGGGGGAGGATGGAGATTCCGGGGCTAGGGACTGCGTTCTGGGGCTGGACGTGCCCCTCCCTCTGGCCTGGTGCCTCCTGGGGTGCCGGGCCCTTCAAGGTGGCTGAGGGGCAGCCCCCCCAGCCCCCCCTCCAGGAGCGCCTTGAGCCCTGGGGGGCCTCCTCCATTTCTCCTCCTCATCCCGTCTCACTTCTGCCGCCTTGTCTTGGGTGACCTTTGACATTGGGGTTAGTGACATGACCGTCCATTGCCCTAACGGGATCCACTACGTATCCTCCGTGGATTTCGAGCCGCCTGGATCCTTAGGGATCCCTGAGCAATTCAGCTCTGCTTACAGGCCTAAGGCCCCGGGCAGTGCTCCCGGGCCCAGAAGAAGCCAGGCGGCAGCACCACGCGGATGGGGACCGGCGGTCAGCGAGGGGTCAGAGCAGCGGAGGCTGCACTCGGCCCCCAGTGGGGAGGGAACGGAGGCCGGGGGCTCTGCTCGTGTGCCCACCGCCGGCCCCGCCCTCAGCACTGTCTGGGGTGGCCCAGGCCGGGCCCTCGACTGTGTTGTGCTGGGGCCACTTTGAGGTCCCACAAAACCCAAGGCCCCTTCTCAGAACAGATTTGTAAAATGTTCCACATGAAATCAAGGAACCAGTGGCATTAAAACGTAGCTGTTGCAGCGCAAAGACGTGGCGATAGAGCAGCGCAGATGCGCTCCCCCGTCCCCTGGCCGGCAAGGCCCAGCTGCTGGCCTGTCAGCTACCACAGCTCAGAGCTGCAACATTTGAGTAACTGCGATGTAACGAGTGAGCCTACTGGGACGAGTCACCAGCAGGGCTGCCACCGCTGCGCCTTGCTGCCGGCACGCTTCGTGACAGGAGACGCTGAATTTCAGTTAGAGTTAACAAGAACAAAGGCAAGCTCTTCCCACCCGAGTCCACCAAGTCCACGGACCCCTGAGTTCTATGCGCAGCGTGTCTGGCGGGACGCTCCTGGGGTGAGGGAGGGCCACCTGTAGGCCGTGACTGTGGCTCGGGTGGGGGCACCGCAGAGAGGACAGCTCTGGTTCTAGTACCTAGTGCCTGTGATGAGCTGGGCTCTGTTTTAAGTACTTCACAGGTATTAACTCATTTAATCCCCGCAACGATCCTGTGAAACAGGTACTGAAATTGTTCCTATTTGACAGATGTGGACCCTGAGGCACAGAGAGGTTGGGTGAGTAGGCAAAGGTCACACAGCCACCAAGCAGTCGTGCAAGGATTTACACTTGGGCCGGCTAGCTCCAGAGTCTGTGTGCTCAGTGCCGAGCACCCTCTCACAAACATCCAGGGGCAGGAGGCGGGGGTCTCCAGGGCTTCAGGCAGAGGGAGGGTGGATGTGGCGGGGCAGAAGGAAGTGAGGATGGGAGAGGGCTTGAGGAGAAGGGAGAGGATGAGAGCGGAGGGCTCCTGCCTGCACCTTCTGTCTCCTCCTTGCTAACGGGGAGCATGCCCTCGGGCTAAGGGGCCCAGGGAGGAGTGAGGGCTCTAAGCCGCACGTCCCTGCCCTGCTCCTCCTCCCCTTCCTCTGTCTCCCTTCCCTGTCCTCCCCTCCCCACCCCTCCCCCTCCCCCACTGCCTTTGAGCCCCTTACCCACTCAGGACGCCCAGCACCAGGTTGAGGATGAAGAAGGAGCCCAGCAGAATGAGGGTGACAAAGTAGATCCAGGGCCACTCGTTCCCGATGGCGTCGTTGACCTGGTCCAGACGGAGGTGTGAGTCCCGTCCCAGACCTGAGGGCTTAGGCCCCCTTCTCAAGCCGCCCCACTCACTCCATCTGACCCTGGGGACAAGGAAAGAGGCCATCTGGGTCCAGAGAGGGGACCCTTTCTAGCCTGAGGACCTGGGATGGGGCCTTGCTGACAGGCCACCTGGCCAGGCAGGAATGACCCCTGCCTCCCTCCAAGCACGGGCTCCCTGCCCTGCCTGTGCCCGCAGGCTGTCTCCAGTCAGCTTCCTTACAGCCGAGAGGCTTCCCAGCAGAAGAAACACTAAGAAGTCTGGGCCTGCACTTGGCCGGCTCCTCCAGGAACCACCTCTGTGACCCTGGGCAAGTCGCCTACATCTCTGAGCACCGTCCCATTGGCCTCATGAGGGAAGGACGTTAATCTGCTTCTCGCAGGCTTGTCATGGGCAAAAGCACTCGTGACAGTCCCCTAAAATGTTAATAACTGGCCACTGTACCCTGAGCTGACGAAAACCATACTAACCCCGTGTATTTGCAAAGCACTTCGCAGTTTTATAGCTCCCACCCCACCCCGTAGGCGGGTCACTCTGTGGCTAGGAGCTTGGAGCTGAGTGGGTTGGAGGTCAGTGCTTGGCTCTGATGCTCAGGAGTCCAACAGAGGCCAAGTTCTGAACCTCTCTGGGCCTCCGTTTCCTTATCTGGAAAATGGGATGAATGCCTTCCGTTGTCAGAGGATGAAGTGAGAAACGCAACCCAGCTCCTAGTCACACCAAGTCGTGATGCTGTCCACCGGGAGAGCTTGCGCACCGCTGGCCGTGGGCGGCGCTCCGGTAACTCAGCTGACCCCCCACTAGCCATCATAACTACCCTGCGACGCAGCTGGGATTTTTATTTTACAGACGAGGAACCTGACATCCAACCATATTTCTACGGGAAAGCGGTCTTGCCCAGCAGCAAGAAGAGAGACTCGAAGGGCCCTCCCCGCCAGGAGATCTGAGATTCTTGGCCGTCAGGAGCGAGCCACTCCCAGCCGGGCTTAGGGGGAAGTTAGGAGCTGAGACCAGGACCAACGGAGCTCCTGGGTCTGTGCGCACACAGCAGGTACCCTGGCCTGCCCAGTGGAGGCTGCGACACCCACCTGGGGTGGGTGGAGAGAGGCAGCGGACCCTCAGTCTGGGGCTGGCAGGCCCCACCCACTCCCAGCAAGCCGGAGCCCGTGCGGCGGGCCGGGGCCCAGACCCACCCAGTAGAGGACGTCGGTCCAGCCCTCCATGGTGATGCACTGGTACACAGTGAGCATGGAGAAGCCGAAGTTGTCGAAGTGGGTGATGCCGTGGTTGGGCCCCGGCCAGCCGCCCCGGCACTCGCTGCCGTTGATGGTGCAGGGGCGGCCTGAGCCCGTCCGGGCGCAGGGCGACGGCTTCTCATTCTCCACCGTGGCCACGATGTCTGCAGGGAGCAGAGGGCAGGTGAGCACCAGGTGGCAGGCGAGGGTCAGTAACGGGGGAGGGCCTTGACAGCAGGTGACAGTTGGGCGTGGCGGGACTAGGATGCCTTCGCAGACCTCACAAGACCGCCCCGCTCCGAGGGTGTGGTGGGGACGGTGGGGCGGCCGGGCCGAGGGCGGGGACACAGACACGGGTATGGATGCGGGTCAGACATGGATACAGGCTGGGTGCAGGCATCTGGATACAGGCATCTGCAGCAGCTCAGGCCCAGGGCCTCACTGGAGACGTGGCTTCCGTGGACCACAGCCTCTGAAGCAGGTGTGACAGGTCATTTGTACCCACAGAGCTTTGAAACGGGAGGCAGCGGCCTGACAGGGCGGATGTGTGGGCAGGCCCTCGCGCTCGGACCTGGGAGCTCTGTCTGGGAGGCTGCAGTGGAGACCTGCCTGGTGCTGGGGTGTGCTGGACAGACAGCCGGCCTCGGGGTGGGTCTGCCCTTCGGGGTGTCCCCAGCAGGCCTTAGCATCTAGGGTGTGATTTATTACTGTTCCTTTGAAACAAATTAACAAATTAATATTATGACATTGCTCTTCATTCTAATACTGTAAACATTAATGGACAAAATATATACAAACAAAAAACCTCTTGGGGATCTTCAGTCATTTTTGAGAGTGTGAAGAGGTCCTGGGGGCGAACAGTTTGAGAGCTGCTAGCTTGGAAGGCTTAGCTCGAGTTCATCCGGGCCCCGACGTAGGTCATCTCTGACCATGAGCCCTCTGGGCCTCGGCTGCTGGGTCCGGTTCAGACCCTACTCTGTGCGCCTTGGACTAAAGCTGAGACCGTGGCTCCGAGGCAAGTACAGACCGAAGTTCAGGCTGATCCTGAGTCTGCATCTCAGCCCACAAGAGGCCAGAAAGCCCGAAGGCACCAGACTTACCTGGGGCTGTGCTGCCCAGGCCCCCGCCCACTCTCCCCTTGACCACTGACCCCGGCAGACCTGTTTTTCCTCCGATCTCCCCTGTCCAGGAGGAACCCACTCCCAAGGTCAGCAGGTGTGGGAAGTAACGACCTGGTCCTGGGGCTTCTCCATTCCTGGGGCGACCCCTCTCAAGACGTCCCAGCCCCTGCCGACGGCCAGCCCCGCAAGCTCACCCGTCCCGATGAAGTAGCAGGTCTTGTGCATCTTGCCCTTGAAGAGCTCCAGCCCGATGATGGCGTAGATGATGACCATGAAGAGGACCAGCAGGGCGATGTGGAACAGGGGCAGCATGGCCTTGAAGATGGAGTTGAGGACCACCTGCAGGCCTGTGGGGCAGGGAGGGGGAGAAACAGGGCTCATCTCCCCTCTTGGTCTCGTGACCCCCCACCCCGTCCCGAGAAGGCTCTGGGACACCAGAGTAGGAGGGGGCCCAGAACTGGCACGAGGAGGCAGCTTAGGGCAGAGGGAGGGAGACTGCCACCCACTTGGCACCCCGGACACCAGCCGCAGGGGCCTGAGCACGCGGAAGGCTCTCAGCGCCTTGACATCCAGGCCGGCTCCCTTGCTGCTCATCGGGGCTGTGTTGCTCTGGATAATGTTAACCTGCTCCAGGATCACGGTGAAGACCCTACGGCGGAAAGAGGGAGAGAACACAGTCCAGCGGCCAGCTAAGCCACTGCCCAGGGGTCAGGGACCCTGGGTCCCATCTGTACTCAAGGGACCTGTGGAAAGACCCGGGGAAGCGGGGCAGGCACGGTTCCTCAGCCGCTAGCTCTGATTTGGTGATGTCTGTCTGGGGAATTTTAGGAGAGATGCCAAGGCCGTGTTCAGACTCAGTGGAAAGAAGGTCCCTATGTGATGCCCACTCTGGGCCCTGAAGCGGGGTGAGGTATGAGAGCCCCCGGCGCCAACAGTCAGGCCTCGGGGCTGCGTGCGCCCGGCTGGGCCGGCGGTTCCGGCAGAAACCATCAGGAGGAAGCCTGGAGCAGGTGTTCTCTGCAGGCGCTCCTCCCACCGAGCTTCAGACAAACCCTTTGCTGTCTTCCCTGCCCTCAGTTTACTCAAATTGCCGTTATCCTTTGAAGTCCACCTCAAATCCTTCTTTGTGAGTCCTTCCACGGACAACCGGACCCCTGGGCCGCACCGCGCGTGAGACAGCGGGGCGCCATGCGGCTTTGTTCTGCACACGCTCGCCCTGGACTCCAGCCAGGGCTGTTCACCGAGGGCAGAGGCTGACTCCCAGAATTCTTTGGCTTCCCCCTTGTTCTGGGTCGTTAGCAGATGATCCATAGAATTTTTTATCAACTAGAAGGGCAGCATAGTGGGTAAGACAGTGACCTCTGGAGCAGGAGTGCCTGCATTCAAATCCTGGGACTGCTCCTGGCCAGCGGTGTGACCACAGGCAGGTTGCTTGACTTCTCTGAGCCTTAGTTTCCTTAAATGGAGAGAATAGGAGGCTTGTGGGAGAATTAAATGAGATGGCACAGGTAACACACGTAGTGAGTGCTTGATAAACGCTGCTATTATAATTAGGTGGTGGTTACTGAATGCACGAATGGGCTCAGTCATATCCTCCCCCTCAGAATCATATACTGACGCCCTGACTCGCGCGACCTCAGAATGTGACTGTATTTGGAACTTCAAAGACGTGCTGGGTGGAAACAAGGCTGTTAAGGTGGCCCTAATTCAATCTGACTGGTGTCCTTGGAAGAAGAGGAAGTTCGGGCACACACAGAGACGCCAGGGGTGTGTATGCAGGGAGGAAGGGCCACGTGGGGACACAGAGAGAAGGCTGTCGGCAAGCCAATGAGAGGGACCTCAGGAGAAGCCAGAGCTGGGGGCACCTCGGCCTTGGACTTCCAGCCTCCAGAACAGGCAGAAAATCCACTTCTGTTGTTTCAGGGCCCAGACCGGCATCTTGCTGGCGGCCTGAGCAGGCGAGTACAGGTTATGAAATGAACGTCCTCATGAACCCAGATAACAGGTGCTCAGCAGAGGTCCGTGGAGCAAATGAACAGGTGAAAATAAAGGCTGAGAAATTCATGAACGTCCAGCCACTGCTGGCCACGGGACCCCCTTCACATTTCCCATTTTGTGTGATGTGAAAAGGATAAGGACACGCAGTGCCAGGCCCAGCTGGGCGGGCGTGACCTGCCTGGCGGCCGTGCTCTCACCCACACCACTGCTCCTGGGGGTGGCCCCGCCCGAGGCCCCTCCACCGCGGGCAGTGGTGGGCCTGGCACTGGGCCCCTCCTTCCCCTGGGCCCCCCCGACAGCCCCGCTGGGCTCAAAGCCCCCACGCCCGGGCCTCACCCCAGGAAGACGATGATGAAGTCCAGCACGTTCCAGCCGCTGCGCAGGTAGGCGTCCTGGTGGAACAGGAAGCCGTAAGCGATGATC